CTATCATGCTGGTTTTTTAGGTGACAAGTTGTCTGTCATCATGGCAAGTTGCTTTGTGTAACATGACTCCGGATTTGTTTTTTTCTAGTACATATCACAAACAGCAAGGAGATTGTTGCACGTACACAGGTGTATGTCAGAAGGGTGTTTGGTGCAAACACAGTGTAAATTAGAAAGAGATAAAGAAGTAAGTTGAAACTAACAAGAGAAAATGTAATTAAGGCAGACTAATGTACCATTTCCTACTTACAATAGTAAATTTGTGACACAATTCCCTACAGATGCATTACAGTAAAAAGAAAAAACACTACCATCTTATCCTGGGGGAATTCATTGTTTTATAAAAATTAGGGTTATACCATTTCAAATACGGGGGATAGAGGGTGAAAACCATACACGTAGTAAGACCAATAATTTTTGTCAATGTTTCTAGTCATCCTGCGCTTCAGTTAAAAATGAGTGCATTACAGCTTAATTAAATGCTTCTTTTTGTTTTGAAAAATGTATATATAGAAAACTCCAATTTCCATGTGCATTAATTTTTGCAAAAAAAAATTTACCAGACACTTTTTTGGTTGACCCAGATCTTAATACAACAGTGGTTTAGCATTCAGTGTTACAGTAATAGAGGTGAATGCACAATACCTAGGGTGCAAAATATAATCACAGTATAACTGGGTGGTACTTCCTCCATACAGTACACAGTTATATATTCTGAGTACCTGATCTCAAAAAATATATTTTCAATGAAAATAAATACAAATTAGACACAAAATGCAGTTCCTAGTAAGATTTTTGTGTATGAGTTCAACAAGCACAAGCAATAACAAAATTGACACCAATAAAATGCATAGTGTATACATAGCATAGCATATGTAATATTAGGAATTTGTCACCTCAGATACATGTACCATGTTACCATGGCAACATTTTAATGGATTTAACGATCAGTAAAAATGGTTTCAGCTCAAATGTGAATGATTTGAGGATATATACCAGGAATACATATGTGTTCAGTGTTATTGTATTACATCCAAGTATTCATTACTCAAAACATCTGTCTTCCCAGCAGGTATTGTACAACAGACGTGTATCAATAACGATATATGCAAATAGTAATTAGAAAGCTTTTACAAAATGTGTGTATTTGTTAAATATACCAAACTTGGTATTTAGTTTAAAATATACTTTTTTTGTTGATCCTAAATTCAGGAAGTACATTGTTGACTGGTAGAAATGTGAATTTTGAAAATTTGTCTTATGTTAATTAATTAATATCCAGTTTTCCTAGTAATTAATCAATTTCAAATATGCAGGTCAAAAATATGTCAACCATTTAAAGATATTCCTACAAATTAATATAGACATGTATTATTACATATGTATGCCAAAAGGCCAGCTAGATCACCAACAAAAGACGATCTTCAATATGATTACAAAACAAATCATCTCTACACGTAAAATGTATATACATGTACCAAGTTTTCACATTTTTAACTAAAAGATAGCCATCAGAAAGAAATTATGAAACAAACTGACATAGACATGTGTTCCAATATGTAAGAAGTATGTACCAAATATGAATGAAAATGGTTCCTAAGCCTAGGAGATATAATAGTACTATGGACAAAAAGCATGATGGCCACCAGTTAGCCATCTTTGATCTGATCAGGAAACAAATTGTCTTGGATATGTATACTTACATGTGATATGTATATACAAAAATTTGAACGAAAAAATATTGGTGCCAGTTGGTCATTTTGGATTGCTAAACCACATTGAGTACTAGCACATGTAAAGAATGAATGGATTTGGTTCAGAGGGTTCTGGAATATGACTCCGAACTCCATTCAAATGGGAAAAAAATATGTCAAAAATAAGAGCAGTATGACTGATGACATATATCAACTTTTATCCACCTACATTTCCTGGAAATGTAATTTCCAGCATGACAAGGTAATCACAGGATGAATCCCCTGCCTGAAGTAAGAAACAAAATTGAGAAACAGGACATGAATGCAGTAATTAAACCAACTGTAACTGACTCTTCTCTACAGATCTAAGTCAGTTATAGTCTCCCTAAGTGCAAATGATATGCTCTCATGAAATTTAAATTATTATCATTCATTTCAGCTTTCAACATGCTCTTATTCCAATTGCCATGACAATCTTAAGTAAAAACAACCAATACATATGATAACATTATATAATGCAAATTATTTTCAGTATAGGGGTCTGTGCGAGGGAGGAGAGGGATTCCTTCCAAAAAGACATACACATCAATATTTCTACTAGTATTTCTGCTTAATAAAGATTCAAAAATGAATTTTAAAGATCATGATCAATAATGGTATTTATATATTATTTTATTTATTAATTAAAAAAAAAATTACATGTTGTTAGGGGTTTGAAGTGAGTGCATGAAACAACAGACAGAGCTGTAATTCAAATTGTAAAGAGGTCACGAAATAAAAGTAACAGTCGTTACAATCGTTGCATGTACTGAATGACAACAATACCAGTCATTAAATGAAGTAATTACAGTTATGTCTGTAAACCTCCACCACTGACACAGATCAGAGTACATTAAATTCACTTCAGATTATAAACACACGAATATTACTACATTGGGAAAGATTCAGTGTTTAATTGATTTCCCATTGTTTTACAAAATAATCTTCTATTTGTCTTGGTAGTGATTATATTCTAATAAAATCTAATAAAAAATGGTTATCCGTGTGTCTATAGCTCTTCCTGTGGCAGTATAGTCTTTGTGATTGGATATTCTCATAGAAATCAACATGTCGTCTGCTACAGATGCCTGTATGCACTGTCGGCAGTCATTTGTGTTGAATGGACAAAAAAATGTCTTCCCATGCTTGTACGACCATTCAAAAAAACAATAAATACCAACATGCTCATAGCAAACTAGTAGCAGTCGTCAGTAGTTTCCAAGCACTTTCAGTGTTCCGCTTTACGAGGGAAGTCCCACTACTTTGACGTCATTTGGTCATACAATATTAGTCCTTGCTTGACCTAAAGAAAATGGCTGCCACCAGAGTTACGTAAGGTCTAGCGATTTAAAACTCAGAACAACAACATCAAACTAATCACAGAAATATCAAAATGAATTGGAAAAAAGCAGGCAAGCATATTATTGGTTGATGGTGTTTTCAATCATGTGATATGAGAAAATGTTCTTTTATTGATTTTTATTTGCAATACACTTTAGTCAGAAACATTTGTAGACATACGTTTAAGAAAAGAAATCATTTTAATTTTGTGTCAATTAAATATTAATATCAGAAAATAACAATTTTAAAGACACCAAATATATGAGAAATGACTAAAATACCATCTCAAGAAGCTTAACCAACAGCTACTACTCAGTGAACGAGAAGAACATCAGGATTATTTCAATTACAATATCTATTTCTAAATCATCTACTTGCAATCTGTAATCAACAATCTGAACCGTGAACATCATAACAAGCTAAGATCTGAAGATGTTTTATGTAGCAGTCTTAACTGCACATTTCAAAACCAAAATTGTATACTAGTTTTGTGATTGAGTTCGGTCGGCCACATTCGAACTTGAGTTAGGATTTCAGCAGAACAACTTGAACTCTCACGAATCACCTGTTAACATGAACTCCATTTATTGGCGAACGAAGCACTTCAAACAAAAGTGTAAACTTTGGATAAATACATAAACTTGTAGAATGCCATAAAACACGATAAACTAACTGACCCACAGTAATGGAATAACAGTCAACATTATGGTTTCAACGATAAGTTTGACTACACACCATTAAATAAATACTATGATCACAACCACTCAATATTGTAGTGCCGAGTCCTATACTACATGATCACACAACCTCTTAATATTGTAGTGCCAAATCCTATACTACATGATCACACAACCTCTTAATATTGTAGTGCCGAATCCTATACTACATGATCACACAATCTCTTAATTCCTAAGCACCAATCGTCATCAAACAACACTCGAGTACCGGTAGGTTTAAACTGTCTGTTGAAATCAGGTGTCGACCACACCTACAAGCAACACAGCGTATTCCAACCAACATGTAGGACACATTGTGTATTGAAACCAAATAAACCAAACACTTTTCTCTGTGCATGTTCACAATGATCACGCTCGTATACTTACAATTAGCGCAGAATAATGAGAGAATTTTTCTTTACAATGGAGTTTCAACTGAAGTATTTCAAAGTGAGTGTTTGATCAAGCAACCATGCTGCTTTCAACAATGGTGTATTTCATAAAGACATGTGATGCAACAACAGTGACAGTCTGAAACCCTGACACATGTCATACTCACCCTAGTTTTCAGAACAGCATTGTTGTATCAATTTATTGCAGTGAAAACAAAGGACTGGATACATTTGAACTGATAACAACACACAATGGGTTGGACACAAGCACTATGATATCAATGCAGGTAATAAAACAGCCTATATGCCCTATTAAAACGAGATGGCCAACCCATAGAATTAAGATTTCACCTTAGCACTGTAAAGAAACTTAATAAATGTTCGAAATGACGATTGGACCTCATTTGACTAATTACATTGCATTTGCTGTTTTATAAATTTCTATCTAAAATGCCCATACCTTCTTGAAACAACTGTAGGAGGTAGTCTGTGTTAAATATTCTTCTAGTATAAATGTCAATAAAGATGAACTGCTCACATATGTCATGACCTCCATCATATGTGAAATCAACAGGTGTTTGCATAGCCATGGCAATATTGCAAATCAATGAATTCTATAAAGCTATTATATTATTATCATGATTTATAGTGTTCTCAACACATATCAACTATCATGAGAGACATTATCAAGTAACTAAAACATAAAACAAATGTGTTATTCCATCAGAATGGGTTACTCTATTATTTGTACAATGCGTTATTACACTTTTTCAGTGCGTTTATCCGCAAAATTCACATAAAATGTAAAAATTTCTCACCTTAACAGAAATTGAACTAAATCCAATCTGTTGAACTCCACAGAATAATGCAAGGCAGTCTTGCTGACATTATTGTCTTCTATTTCATTGATGTCTACTCCAGCTTTAAGTAGTATTTCACAGCTATCTGCATGACCCTGTTGTACAGCGTATATGATCGGTGGCACGCCTTTATTGTTGGACTCCCTGAGCACCTGCGAGGAAAATTATCATAGTCAGACTCTGCAGTTTCAAGTTAAGCTTCAAAATAAAGTTTTCATGCAGGTTGAGAGATCACCTAACAAGCATTAAGACCAGTATTTTCATTACGTAGTTAGTACATGGAGATATGGGTGCATTAAATCTCACATGGCTTAGTAATATATACCGTCTATGCTCACAGCCTTCATTACCTCAATAAGACACGTTAAAGTCAAAAGTGATTTAACCTAGGTCAGCGGTTAAGGAAGTAACTGACATTCCATTCTCACTCCAATACACCTTTTATTATAGCAGTGATATTTACATATAAATGAGACACAATATACACTGTGTGTTACTTTAACTGCGAATTTAAAGGCTCTGATTACAGCGTTCACGAATATCCCTCAGTAATTTAATTAAAACAATACAAATTTAGTCATTCACTTCTGTTTACATTTTTCCATTGAAATTTAGTTATATAAATATAGAATGTTTTCAACTGTTTGTAAATTTCACACTCATTTTAACACAATTCTAAGCGATTATCACTCCACTTGTCTACAAGTAAATATATCATCACTGTATTGTTAGAAATTATGCAAGAACAAAAATTTATATTCCTAAATATACACATATGATAAAACAACTTACAAATCAAAGAACCATCATGTAAATATGCAAGTACAGCAGTAACCATTGTTTTAATATATATGATGCAGTAACCATTGTTTTTAATATGTATGATGCAGTAACCACTGTTTTAATATGTATGATGCAGTAACCATTGTTTTAATATGTATGATGCAGTAACCATTGTTTTAATATGTATGATGCAGTAACCATTGTTTTAATACATATGATGCAGTAACCATTGTTTTTAATATGTATGATGCAGTAACCATTGTTTTAATATGTATGATGCAGTAACCATAGTTTTAATACGCATGATGCAGTAACCATTGTTTTTAATATGTATGATGCAGTAACCATTGTTTTAATATGTATGATGCAGTAACCATTGTTTTAATACATATGATGCAGTAACCATAGTTTTAATACGCATGATGCAGTAACCATTGTTTTAATATGTATGATGCAGTAACACTTGTTTTTAATATGTATGATGCAGTAACCACTGTTTTAATATGTATGATGCAGTAACCATTGTTTTTAATATGTATGATGCAGTAACCATTGTTTTAATATGTATGATGCAGTAACCATAGTTTTAATACGCATGATGCAGTAACCATTGTTTTAATATGTAGGATGCAGTAACCATTGTTTTAATATGTATGATGCAGTAACCATTGTTTTAATACATATGATGCAATAACCATAGTTTTAATACGCATGATGCAGTAACCATTGTTTTTAATATGTATGATGCAGTAACACTTGTTTTTAATATGTATGATGCAGTAACCACTGTTTTAATATGTATGATGCAGTAACCATTGTTTTTAATATTATATGATGCAGTAACCATTGTTTTATTACATATGATGCAGTAACCATTGTTTTTAATATGTATGATGCAGTAACCATTGTTTTAATACATATGATGCAGTATCCATTGTTTTAATATGTATGATGCAGTAACCATTGTTTTTAATATGTATGATGCAGTAACCATTGTTTTAATACATATGATGCACAGTAACCATTGTTTTAATATATATGATGCAGTAACTACACAAATGTATGTACCCAAGAATCTATTGCCTGACCCTCATTTGTTCAAGCCATACTGAAAATGAGTCCACCCCAGAATCTATTGCCTGACCCTCAGTTGTTCAAGCCATACTGGAAATGAGTCCACCCCAGAATCTATTGCCTGACCCTCATTTGTTCAAGCCATACTGGAAATGAGTCCACCCCAGAATCTATTGCCTGACCCTCATTTGTTCAAGCCATACTGCAAATGAGTCCACCCCAGAATCTATTGCCTGACCCTCAGTTGTTCAAGCCATACTGGAAATGAGTCCACCCCAGAATCTATTGCCTGACCCTCATTTGTTCAAGCCATACTC